GTCGAACTCTCTCTCTCTCTGAAGTTATGAATTGTAAGTTAACTTGATTTGATTAGTGAATTCAATTATGTACATGTAACGCAGACATTCACAGGTAACAAATGCCCACGAGACTAAGAGAATAATGAAAGACAACATAGACCAAAGGCTAAGTGAAAGAAGTACAATATCACAACAATTTTTTGAGTTCCAATTTTCCCCGCCCCGCTAAAGGATAGGTATTATTTTAGACTTTAAACTTTTTGATCATTAGCATTAGACTTTCTTTCAATTTAAACCAAACGAAGGGGGGAAAGGCCGTGCGCTGGGGGTGGGGGTATTGAACAGCTTTGTCCAAAATGAGGAAAATTAAAATAAGCAAAAATCAAAGTGCAATGACTGTCACGTATCAAAGAAAGCTACCGATCGATGAGAAGAGCATAAAAATTTAGTTTGGTACAGAAAACCACAGAATGCCTTGTTGGTCTCAACCTGTAGGAATTAACAAAGTTATGACAAATTGCTTGATTCAGTTCTAATGTTTCCGCATTGGGGGAGTATCTCATGTAATCTTCACGAATTGCATTCATTCCCAACTAGCTTCCCGACGAATGTCAAGACAGGATTATGATTAGTTAGCAAACAGAGTGAAATTCTCAAAGAATTTAAAATTCACCTCAACTATAATAACCAAGTACATAAATCAACACATACCAAGTATATATCTATTGTAGAAAATTATTTTGAAAATGTGTAGGTTAAATTATTTTGAAAATTTCTCAATATCAGGAAATTTCTAAAAAAAGTCTTCATAATTTATTAAACTATAACAGTTTTTCAAACTTTTAGCCTCTAGCGTTACAATTTTGAAATAAGATATGGCAGAGCACAAAGCAAGAAATTTTGATAATATTGCTGGGTGCAACGTTGATACAAGGCCTCGACCTTGGCAGAAAATTAACATGCAATCAGAACTAGCTGATAGGATTCAACTAGCTAGCATTGCAGAATATATCTCATTCAATAGAATCAAATACAAAAAATTACAACCTTAAAACGTAATACACTTTTAAGTAGTGTGCATGTGTTTCTAGTATCACACTCATATATCTAGTTTGGTACTCGTTGGCGGTGGGCATAGGGTGGCGACACAAAGGGCACACATGACTAGTTTGCAGCCATTGCACAATACATTGTTGGTGAAACACGTGGTCGCAGGGCATTGCTGAGGCTGCCACGTCATCATCATTATCACCACTCACATCGAACTCTTCCATGCAGATAGTACAATACTCATTCTGTTTCATAACCTTGAATTTCTTTAGAGAATTGATGGCATTCATGGATGCTGGAATCATTCTAAAATGTTGGAGGGAGTCTTCGATCACTGCACGCTCCATCTCTTGATTCTCTTCATCTGACGGCACATCTATGACGACTTCCAGAGACAAAGGGAACTCTTGGTATTTTGAACCGGGTGGTTTTATAATTACAGGATCAGAATCAAAAAGTTGTTGAACCTGAGGTATGATCCTCTGTGAGATTTCATCAAGGCACTCGCTTGTAAAGTACTGCAAGGACCATGGGCGTGGTATAAGTAACCTTGGTAGGAAATCTTCAATTTTTCTTTTTGCAATTCTGATATCTTCAACACTAGTACTTCCGAAGAAGTGTTTGCAGCTTATGCATTCAGTGGTTTGTACATTTCTAACACGTAAATCAGTTGAGACGTATCGCAGGGTAAAAGTGACTTCGAATCTGAAGACTGTGGGCTTGACAATTTGCTGTTCTTGATGTTGTTGGTCGCTTCTACTCACACCAAAACGAGCAAGTCTTGGTTCTTGATGTTGCTGATCGCTTCTGCCCACATGAGTGTTGTAGCGTGCTACTGTTGAATGGGGTTGTGGAGATGCCATTGTGAACAAGAGACTGAACTTTCGTCTATGGCTTCTGTGGGATTTGTATTTAAAGAAAAAAGATTGATGATAATATATTTTTATAAATATATGGTGTTTTTTGATCAGTTAGTTGTATCTTGTGAAATATTACTCTATCTTTCCAACTGTGATTGGTTAGGATACATTCTATAACGACAATTTGACACAGAATCTTTTACATTAAATAACTTTGCCAGACTAGGATTTAGGAAAAGATCCTTTTCGAATTTGTCTTCCTAAACAAAATCTAGATTATTTCTTTGCTATTGTGAGAATTAATAGCGAAAGAAAGAATAAACAAAAATCAAAATAAAAATTATGGGGATAAATTGAAGAGTGAGATAACGAAAATTGAGGGAAGGACTCAGCTCAAAACAAGAAAGAAATCAAGAAAGTATAAAGAGATAATATCTATCTGTTATATTTTGCACTAGAGAATCATGTTTTGTAATTGTAATGAAGATCACGAGTAAGAATAAATAACATGATTGAAGTATTAATAGTTCTAAAGTTATGTGAAATCAATTCGTGATAAATATTTGATATACTTCATAAATAAAACTTCAATCTCTTAGTTATCTTCATCTTACCAAACGTTAACGAGTCAAAGGGATCTCTTGGTATTTTTTAAATATCCCGAATCAGAATCAAATCTCTGTTATGGCGTTGAAGTTACATGAAACATTGAGTACTTGATATGCTTCACAAGAATTTTTAATCTAGCTAATAATTAAATAGATTGAATTCAATGCAATTATAAAAAGTTACTTAATGGAATAAATATATCAAAATCTTACTTCAACAAGGTAAAAAATATTACTAAGGGACTACTAACCAGTATGAGATAATTGTCACAAGAACTTGAATGTTAAATTTTAAATCATTAAATTAAATAGAAAAGTTGTGATTTACTCATAAGTTAATGTTTAATATAGGCTGCACAGTTGATGCAAGCCCTTAAATTGTTGACATGAAATCACTAAAGAGTATTGTAGGCATCCAATTAGGAAGACAAGACACTAACGAGTCCTGTTCTTAACATCAGAATTTAAACGAAAGAAGGTTGTTCCATTACAAAAAAAGAGATGATATGGTCCTTAGGGTGTGCAAAAAAACTGGTTCACTTGTCCTGCTCTTGATCCGACCTTGACCCGACCCATAAATACCCATATTTTTTGAACTGGTTTAAATACTGACCCACTTTTATTTGGGTCAGTTTTAGACCTGACTCGTTTTAATATTGACCCACTGACCCAAAACTTGACCCATACCCATTATGTGAAAAAAAAAATCACAATTACATTAAAACAAAAGTTTTTTTTTTTTTGGAGTTACCCAACCCTAATTATCTCTTTGAGACGAGTTGGCTCCCTCCGGTATCTCCACGAGCTTCGACTCTTTGAGCCAACTATGGGACTAATCCGGAGTGCGGGGGAACAGTGATGGCTAAAGGTTCAGCCCCCTCCCCAAGAATGCATTCAGCGGGAATCAAACACATATCCAACCCCACTAACTCAGCGCCAAGTTACCAACTGAGCTGCACCCATTGGGTTAAAAGAAAAGTTTTAACGTAAAACAATTACGTCAAAATTTTTTATGAAAAATATTTTCATAAAAATTTTCGCAAAAATTTTTGACAAAAAATATTTTCATCAAAATTTGTAACTAAAAACATATCGGTAAAAAAATTTGACGAAATATTTTTTTTGTCAAATTTTTTTACGGAATCTAAATTTCGTCAAAATATTTCACAAAAAAATATATTCATAAAAACTTTCGACGAAACACATTTTCATCGAAATTCTTTGACAGAAAAAATTTCATCAAATTTCTTTACAGATTTCAAATTTCGGCGAAAGTTTTCGACGGAAACATTTTTGTTAAACTTTTTGACAAAAAAAAATTTCGTCGAAATTTTTAGCGAAACACATTTCTATCAAAATTTTTTGACTAAATATTTTCGTCAAGTTTATTGATAAAGAATATATCCATCAAAATTTTCAACGGAACACATTTCAGTAAAAGAAATTCGTAAAAGTTTTTGACAAAAATATTTCAATAAGAAATTTTGACAGAAAAAATATTTTGTCTAAATTCTTTAGAGAATCTAAATTTCGTTGAAAGTTTCAAATGAAACATTTTCCTCAAAACAATTTCCATTGAAAATTTCGACGAAACACATTTCCATCAAAAAATTTCGACCGCAAAAAATTTCATTAAAATTCTTTACAGATTTCAAATTTCGGCGAAAGTTTTCGACGAAAATATTTTCGTCATCAAAAAATTTTGACGACAAAAAATTTCATCAAAATTCTTTACAGATTTCAAATTTTGGCGAAAGTTTTCGACGGAAACATTTTCGTCATCAAAAAATTTTGACGGCCAAAAATTTCATTAAAATTCTTTACAGATTTCAAATTTCGGCGAAAGTTTTCGACGAAAAAAATTTCGTCGAAATTTTTTGACAAAAAAAAATTTCGTCGAATTTTTTAGCGAAACACATTTCCATCGAAAATTTTCAACTAAATATTTTCGTCAAGTTTTTTGATAAAACTTTTTTTGACAAAATTCTTTTTTCGTTTAAAACATTTGATGGAAGAAATCATTTTCGTCAAAACTGTTGACGGAAACTAAATTTCAATAGAAAATTTTTTTTTGTAAAAATTTCGACGGAAAAATAATTTTGTGACGAAATTTTCGTCTTTTGCAACGTAAAAATTTTGATAAAATTTTGTGAGAAAACCAAGTCAAAAACGGGTCAGGTTAGATTTGATCCAGTTCAGAAACCAAGTGAGACCCACTTCAGAAACCAAGTCAGGTCAGATCCAAACTGGTTCTGAACTAGTTCAACAAAATCCAATCCAAGTCAGACCTGACTTGGATCAAATTAAAGCGGATCGCGTCAAAATATCTGACCTATAAAAATCAAGTTGAGTCGAGTCGGACAAAAACCTGACTCGACCTGACCCATGCACAGCCCTAGTGGTCCTCAACCTTACAAAATAATTGTCATTCCATAAAACTACATGTAAAACGTACATATATATGAACAAAAATATGATAGATCGAGTAAACTAGATTGTCTTAGTTGTTAGAAGTAGGCATAGGGTAGCGACACAAGGGACACATATAACTGGTTTGAAGCCACTGCACAATACAATGATGGTGAAACACATGACCGCATGGCATTGGCGAAATCTTCACATCTTCCCCTTCAGCACCAAACGTTTCCATGCATACACTGCAATTCTCAGGAAGCACATATGTTTTCAGAGATTGGATGGCTTCGTTAGATGCCGAAACCATTCTAACACTTTGCATAGACTCTTCTTCCATAATTGCACTCTCCAACTCTTGAATCTCTTCATCTGTCAGCTCCATCTCTTGATTCTCTTCAACTGACGGCACATCCAAGACGATTTCCAGAGACAAAGGGAACACTTGCCCTTGGTCTTGTGAACCGGCCGCATGTGGTTTTATAAAATCAAAAAGCTGTTGAACCTGATGTATGATCCTACCTGAGATTTCATCAAGGCAATCCCGGGTAAAGTACTGCAAGGACATTGGGTAGGGTAAAAGCAATGCTCGTAGGAAATCTAATGCAGTTCGTTGGAGATCTTGATCATTACTTAGGAAGAAGCGTTTGCACCTCATGTGTACAGTGGTTTGGAGTACTAGGGTTGATATGTTTATAACACGAGTACTTGAGATGTGTCGCAGTGTAACAGTGACTTCAAATCTGAAGACATCTGTAATTGTAGCTGTGGGCTTGACGTTTGGAAGTGCTTGATGTTGCTGCTCGCTCGTACTCACCTGAAAGCTAGCTAACCTTGGTTCTGTGAATGCCATGAGGATGATCAAGAAAAACAAGAAAACAGAAGGAGAAAATTGATATGCATGCGATTTTCAGGTGCATGTGGCGTCTTAACTGTTTGTGGTTTATATTTATAGTTAAGGCAGGGTATTCAAATTGGAGAAAGATTAAGGAAAGAAATCTTGCTGATATTCCACTTAAAAGATTTTGTTTGATATATAGATCAGTTAAAAGGTTTTTGATTGCAATATCATTACGAGATTCGATATTGCATTAAATCAACTCAAAAATTAATTGTTGTAAGTGAGTCAAATTGTAAATCAATTCAATTTAATTACATAATATCCGGAAATCTTTTAAGACAAAAAAATAGGGACGGAGAGAGATCTTCCTGAAATCGAATAAAAAATATCATTCCAATATTAATTCATGTAAAATAATATCCCCAAAATAAAAGCAGAACAATTACATTAGTTTTACAAATAAGTCGTTGTAATTAAATACATCCCTTTTAAAGGAGAAAAATTAGAAACAGAGATAATTCATCTAGCTAGAGAATCCAATAAAAAGATTTTTAAGGACAATACCGGCCAACGGCCATTTCAAAATTTGAAGTTGCATGAAATCAAGTCAAAAATTAAATCTCTGTGAATGAAGCAAAACGTAAATTAATTCAAGTAACATAAAATCTCAAAAAAGAAGAAGAAGTTAATTTTGCAAATAAGTCATTATAATTAAATTATGCATTTCTTTTAATTATTAGCCAACATAATAAAGTAGGATAGTAAAATATTCTATAACATCCTATCCAGAGAGTGTAAATTGCAAATAAGTCCAATTATAATAAATTATTTTACAATATAGTTTTCACGCAAATATATATATATCATAGAAAACGAAGTAGTTTAATATATTTGCAAAATTTACCACAGCGGAAAAATATATATACATTAAATCCCAAAATCATGTTTTTAAAGTAGATCACAATTCAAAAAGAAACATTGACAAAATTTCATGTGCTCGTCCACTCTCCTCATTCTCTCCAATCATGATAATAATAATAATAATAATCATGTAAAATAATATAAATAATTAAATTCTAAAAAAGAACTCAAGCATGTCTTTAAGCACCAATTTAACCATGTAGTCTTGTTCAATGTACATTATGCAATACTTTTCAGAAAAGTATTCAAAGCATAGGAAATTTCTTGAAAGTATTAACCCCAAAAAAAATTATAAAGGGTGAAGGTTGCAAAGAAGAAAGTCTCAAACTGAGGCTGCACATTACCTGCTTTCTTGTAACAAATTAATTCCAAAATATACAATCCATACCACACAAAGAACGGACAAATCTGCATGGAAAAACGTAATAAGAGAAAACTTGGTTATCCTAATCAATTTAATTAAGATAGAATTCTAAATATTGTTAGAGAGATATGATATAAAATTATTGAAGGTCCATCACTTATAAGTTTAAGCTTCTAGGTGAGATAATTGTTTATCATGGATTTAGAGTCAAGGTGATCACGGGGTCATGAGCTCAATTCTCACCGCTATAATAACCCTAATTATATGACTTTTAAATTAGAGGGTTATAATGAGGACCTTATGGTCAAAATGGAATGAGGATGAAATTTTAAGAATTTTGATATCCATATTGAGGGTATTTTACACAGGTGAATTATTATCTGTTATTTTTAACTGCTGACGCAATAACAGTCAGTAGAAAGGCTCAAACTTAGCAAATTATAATTAGAGAGCTAATCTAATGATATAAACATCATGAGTGAGGTTAGTATATGATTTGATGAAGTTTGATACTCATATTATGGTATTTTGAAAAAGTCACTTCTGCCAGGTATTTTGTACTGCTGTAGAAGCAGCCAGTAGAATCCTGGAACGGGAAAAAGATGAGAAAATAGAAAGAAAGACCAATATATGCCTAATAAGTCATAATTAGACCAATAATGTTAAAATTAAGAAGATTATGAAATCCGGGTACAGTTAAAAACACCGGCAAAGACTACAGTGCAATTAAACAACTGTTAGTGAATCTGTGATCTACTAATCAAATTTTTAAGTTATGAACATGATAATTAGACAAAATTAATGTTAAGTACTTAAAGTTAGAGTCTTGGGTGTTCCCGGGTAAAAATTTGATAACGATTCAGATAAAAATTACACCGGAGTTCACTAAAGGACAAAGTGCCACTAAAGTGACATGGCAACCCTAATTAGAGGCACCTTCCCTCCCTTATGCTTCAGCAATCAGCCGCCCAACCCTCCCTATCTCTCTAAAATTCAAGTTTCAAACTTTGCTCTCACTTCTCTATAGAATCTCTCCTCCAAAACCTTACCAAATCACTAAACCTCCTTCACCAAACTTGTTCACCTCACTCTCCTCTTCACCACCATACCATTTTAATGGTGTGAAGCAAGATTTTTGTGTTCTTTCCACCATGTACAGCCACGGTTTTGAAGTCCAAGGAGCCATGGAGTTGTGTTCTTGAGTTCTTTTATAGAACACCACTTGTGTGCTTGGTTCTCTTGAGTTCTAGGATAAGTTTCCTAAACTTTTCTTCAAAAACCTCATCTTTCTCTTTTGTGTTCTTGAGCTCTAACTCTTGAGCATATTTTTGAAGGTGTGTTCTTTTTTAAAGGAGCATTCTTGTTGGTAAAAGGTGAAGCTTGTGTGAGCTTGAAGAAGTAAGCACCACTTTGGAAAAAAGATGACCCAAAATCCTTCCTCTCCTCTATTGCATCCTCGGTTTTGTCTTGTGGGTGGGGAGAATATTGTTTAAAATTTTTAAAGTAAGGGTTTTGATGGTTGTTCTTGAGGGAGTGTGAGTTTTGAACCAAGAAATGGTTAGTTTGATGTGTAAATGTGCAACCTTTGGATCCTTGTGTGGATTTTATGTAAAAAGAGATGAACATGAACACACATATACCATTCGGCCATGTCGATGGAACCTAGGGTTTGATGCCTAAAAATTGTTAAGAAGTGGTTAAGTGTGGAAAAAATTCCAAGAGGAACTAAGAAAGACTAATTAAGTGGGTTATCTCTAAGTGAAACCTATTAATCTTGATTAAGGATGGCTAAAATCTCTAATAAACATAATTAATCAAATATGTCCCCTTGAGTATAAGAGGGATTAATGGTGTTAAAAATAAGAAAATCAAGGATTTGTGGAGTGATTAAGTGTAGGGTCTAATTAACTAAAGAAATGACTAAGAAATAAGCTTAAAAACCCTAATCTACACACCTAAGCAATTCAGCCATATGTGATTAAATTAGGGTCACTATGTTAAAATTAATAATAAGACCTAATTAGGACACTAAGCTAGTGGTTAAGTGATGTGGACTACGCATAATACACTAATTAAATATTAAACCCAAAAAATTGACCTAATTAGGGTTTAGGAGCATTAATCATGCAATTAGTGAACTTGAGGTACCACGACATAATATGACTAAATGGGATTTCATAATGAACCGAATTAAGGATAAACCCTAAAATTAAAGTAACCTAGGGTTTCTAATTAAACCTATTTAGGGTTTGTTAATTAAACCTAATTAAGGAACTAAATGGTAACTTAAGCCTAAGATGGACTTATGGACACATGACCATGTGAATTGATGAAAGCAAATCCTAGGTTAGAGCATGTATATGGTTCGGCCATATAGGGTATTATTAGGGTTTAGGGTTGAAAAATTTAAAAAAAGATGGATTAAGGTTTGATTATGTGTCTAATGCTTTAATCAACTTGTAACTTAGAAGAAATGAATGTGAGATTTAGGAAATTCTCTAAGTCTTGAATTTAAGTCTTAGAATATCAATGTGTTAATATGCCTAAGTTAATAAGTAAATTACCTAGAAGATATACACTTAGCATAATTATGGAATATGGAAAAAGGGAGCTTAACTTAGAAAGAATTAAGGATGAACTAAGAAGCCAAGGAACCAAGAGTGAGTTAGCCTTCAAATTGAACACCATGGGACCATGTTAATGCCTCAGTTTTGGAACTCTTAATAGGACAAGTAAGTGATTGAAGATTGAGGTTGCTTGTAATAATGCACTAAAATACATAATTATGTAATAATTGGTCTAGACTTATAACGGGAATATTATTGGCATGTAAGAATGAAATGTGAAATCATTAAGTGATTGAGTATTAATGATTGTAAATAATTCCTGCTCTAGGTTTTCCTAGAGGACTTGGCACTTGAGGGTTTATTAGAGTACACGTGTTTTACTATTGGAGTTGGGCTTGTGATAAGTTCAGTGAGGTAAGCTCCTAGTTCTGGTTTCTTCTCTCTCTTGTGGCCCCACCATGATGGTGGGCATTATGGTTGTATTGTATGAAAGTATGTGGTATAATGTATATGTGCATTCATTCACATTCATATAGATGTTATATGATTCTCTATGTTATGATGATTCACTGATGATATATGTTATGAGAATCCTGGCCAATGATCATGGTATGTAGGCTACCTATGACTTGACTCTGGGAACTATTTCATACTGAGGTTGTGTTGACTGTCTATGGCTTGACCCTGTAGTCACACATGTGTAACTGTCTATGGCTTTGACCCTGGGATTACACAAGGATGATATGATGATGCTATGTTTATGTTGTATGCCTGTATTATATGCTTTATACTCCTCTCTCTTGTGGCCCCACCATGATAGTGGGCATTATGGTTGTATTGTATGAAAGTATGTGGTATAATGTATATGTGCATTCATTCACATTCATATACACTACAAGAAAAAATCTTATTAGTGTCGCAAATTTCGTCACTACATATGAAATTTCATCACAAATTCCTGAGTCGCAAATTTATTTGTGACAAAATTTGATTATTTGTGTCGAAAATTGTCATTTGTGACAAAATTTGTGACGAAATTTTTGTCACAAATAAATTTTTTTCTTGTAGTGATAGATATTATATGATTCTTGATGTTATGATGATGCACTGATGATATATGTAATGAGAATCCTGGCCAGTGATCACGGTATGTAGGTTGC